TAATAATAATGGTTTATTACATTAACTAAATAGCTTGAAAAGCTAAAATACAGTTATGTTTACAGTGATGGAACTTTTACAATGATAAAATGTAATGTAAAAAGTATTAATACTATGGTCTCTACTTTCCTAAAGCTAGTTCAATGTAAAAAGTCTTAAAACTATTGTCGTATTTACAGATAGAATTATATTATGTTAGTTATTACTCACTATAATATATAAACCCACATGCTTACTTAGCAATATAAAGATTATATTTGCCAATTGCATATACAATTGGACTATGTTTAAAACGTTCTGTTTTACATGCAAAGTTATAGTACGTTGCCTCATTCATTCTCGTTTCTCGTTGCTTTATTTGGGAAGTTTTCTTTGGTAAGAGGTGGTTAAGTTTATGATTCGGGTTTGACATGTCCTTAATAAGTTGGACACACATGTCATCGCGTCGGTCGGTTAGCGTTTTGAGGTTCGATTCCATTAGTGCTTCATGGTATTTTAGTTCCGGATAAATTATCCTTAACGCTCTTTTCTGGATTCGTTCGATATCTTCGCTTTGCTCCATTGTCAACCCGCCATTCCAAACTTGGGCGCCATATTCCAAAACTGATCTCACTACTGCTACGTAGAAAGTCTTCAGAGCTTCTTTTGGCGCATTATAACTCTTTAGAATCTTCATAAAATATAGTCTCTTAGCTGCCTTTTTTGTGATGTACTCAGTGTTCGTTTTCCATTTAAGGTCATCGTCGAACCAGATACCCAGTAGCTTGTAAGATCTTACTTTAGTGAGAGACTGCTCCCCTAATGTAGTTGGGGGTATAATCGTTTTATTCTTACGAAAGTCGATGTGCATTTCTTTGCATTTTTTTAAATTCAGTTGCATATTTTCGTCGTTCGTAAATTGTAATACACTCTCCAAATTACGTTGGGAGTTGCCGATCGATTCTCCAGAGATATGATCGGAAACGTTTAAAACTTCCGACATGGTAGTGTCATCCATAAACATTGAAACAGTATCACTGTTCTCATCATCAGATGACTGAACCACTGATGGGAGATCGTTTATATGAACTATGAAGGCTAAGGGACCGATTTTACTACCTTGTGGCACCCCACCTTTAATATATGCAGGGTCGGAAAAAGTGTTTCCGACTTTTGTAACTTGTGATCTGCCTTGGAGGTATGACCCGAGCCAAGCTAGCAATGCTGGTCTAACACCTATTTTCTCGAAATTCTGGAGTAACTTATTGTGGTCAATTAGGTCGAACGCTTTTCGAAAATCCAGGAAAATTATTCTCACCACATTCCCATGGTTCTCCATAGCCGAATACCAGTTGTGTGCAAGACAGACAAGTGCTAAGACTGCCGAAGAACCTGGCAGTCCTCCAAATTGAGCTTCGCTCACTTTTCCTTTTATATCTTCACGTACCCACTCAACCACGTACGACTCTTGAACCTTGGATAGGACACTAGTGAGAGAGATTGGACGCAGGTCTTCAACATTCGAACAAGGCGTAATCTTCGGAATCGCGCAGACTGTGTAAAATTTCCAAATTTGGGGAAATATTCTTGACATGAATGATTCGTTGTATATATCGGCCAAAGGGATAGCAAAATATTTCGCGAACATCTTGATCAATTTCATGTATGGGTCGTATGGACCGGCTGCCTTCCCGACGGTAAGATCACTCAGTCTTTTTGCAACATTTTCATCAGTAATTGTTGGGAGAGGGTCTAGTTCACCCCGTGATAGCCAATCTCCCCGCACTTCCGAGAAGTCGTTTGTAAGAGTTGAGAAGAATGAATTTATGTGATCAGCCGTTTGCTTATTATTCATTGGTAGTTCGGAGATGGGGTCAAGAAGCGTTGGTGAGGTATTTCTCTTCTTTCCAACGATATTGTTTATGTTATTCCACCATATTTTAGGATTTTGTCGATAAGTTGGGAGGATTTTTTCTTCATAAAATTTTCTTTTGCTCACGCGAATCTCCGATACAATTTGGTTTCGAATAGTCTTGAAGAGAATGTATTTACCGCTCTTGTAGGCTTTGTTTCGCTTACTAATCAAACTTTTAATTTTTCCAGTTATGAAGGGTTTGTCTTCATCATGTGCTTTAATTATCTTTGTCGGAAAATAAAAGTCAATAATGTTATGGGTTATTTCCAAAAAACTATCGACCTTGTTATCTACGTTATTTTCAGAAAGAACTAGTAACCAGTCATAGTGTTTTAGGTATTCTTCGAAGCCTTGTAGAGACGATTGTTTTAATGGTCTAACCTTGACTTTTCTTATGGTGTTTTTTCGAGTTACATGAACTTTGGCATCTAATAGGATAGTTGCATGATCTGACGTTGCAATTGGGGCGAGAATTTTTGGGGTCTCGAAAAATGTAGATGTATCTGTAAATAATAGGTCGAGAGTGTTTGATCCTCTTGTAGGATTCTTAACAATTTGTTTCAATTTGCTATACCTGACTAATTTGGCGGGACGAAATCCGTTGCTGGTAGGGTTAAAATCTCCTGCTATAATAAAGGATGTGCTAGGACTTTCCGAGATCAATATGTCATAGCAGCTGTAAAAATAGTCGTAAAAGCGTTCAACGTCTTCAGATGTCGTTGATGGTGGCAAATAAACCACAGCTACTGCTATTCGAGAAATACATCTAGGTAGCCATGTTGGTCGAAGGATAGCCCAGAGGCATTCGAAAGGTGATTGAGAAAAATCGTGTCGTGTTTTGGTGGGGATGCTATTGGAAATATAAAGGACTACACCGCCACCTCTACGACCGATTCTATCTTTCCTTATAGATGTCATACCCGGCAGTTGAATAGCCTCGTCCGGGATTTTATCACACAGCCATGTTTCGGTGACAAACACCAGGTTGGATTTATATAGTTCCACTAAGTTTGCAAGCTCGTCCGTTTTATTAGCTAGAGACCTTGTATTTAGGATCAAAACGTTCGGTAACCTTCGTTCATTGTTAGAATTTGGTATATCTTGTGGATCCACTAGAGGGATACGTATTAAATTGTTCCTGATCGATCTCTCGAAATAATTTAGTTTTAGTCCTTTTCTAGAGGTAATCCTAACGGGTATAGGTTGAAAATGGGTAAGGGGGTTGGATGTGTTAAAATACATGTGACGTACATTCGTATTTGTTGTATGTTTGGTGAGTGGAACAGTTATTAAATTTCTAAATGTGCGTAGGGGGGAGGTCGCGTGACTCAATAAACGGGGCGTCGTAGGTGGAGGGGGTAGGTTGGTTGATGTGCTATACGAGGTGAATATATTGGGATATCCATTAGGGGTTTTGGCCAAGGGTAGGTTGACCATGGTATCATGGGGTAGTTTGGGGGGACTTGCCAGTTGTAATTTGGCATTTTCCTTTGCTGGTAGGATAAAAAAGGACTAGGATAGTTCATGTTAGGCCTTTGAGTCGACGGAATATTTGAGGTATCACTATGTGAAAAATCACATTGGTCTCCTTTCAAGCAAAACCCTCTCCTTTGTAGAAAGGGGCAACGTATTCTGTATTTAGGCATATTATCCCATGGCTTTTTTGGATGCAGATGTTGTGGGTGTTTAAAATCACAGTTTTGCTTCTTAATACACCAGCCCCGCCGCGAGAGAAAAGGGCAAGGAATAGTGCTTTTAGGAATCTGCTCATTAGACGGCTGTGTTTGCAATCTTGAAATAGGTATCCTATTTCTATGTGCATTAATAATTCCTTGTTGTTTACTCGGGGGTGCATCTTTGGTGTATGCCAATATGGGGCTCGTTAATTGATCTACAATTACAGTGGCGTTTATCAAATTATCATGTTGATCTTCACCATTGGACGAAGGAATTTCACTGATAATAGTTGAGCTTAACTGATTCTTATTCATAATAGTAGGTAACTCGTTGGTAAAACCAAATGAATCATCCATTGTATTGAATGCATTATTATCTTGGCTAGGCTCTTTGTTCTTAGGGTTGTTAGGAATTTCATTAGATACATTAATTAATCCACTACCTTTGTTCGCAAGGTCGTTTAGGGCTCCACCGCGCTCAAGGGATAATAATTTTGTCTTAATGTATTGAATTTCCTCATTAAGTTTGCAGATTACTTCGTCTTTTTTATTTATAATGGCCTCCATGTCCTTCTGTTTAGCGCGAAGTGAGTTAATATCGTCAGACTTAGACTCTTGTTGGGAAATTGAAGCAAATAAACGGGACTCTAGAATCGTCATATCAAGTTTTACACCCTCGAGTTCAGCGACTATATTACTGTTAACACAAGTATAAGGACATGTGCATACCTTAGGTACCGAAACACCGTTGCTTGGGCCAGCTGCCACGTCGCTCCCAACTGGATTCGCCAAACTCGCAAATTTTCGCTTCAAGTAGTGTTCATTATCAGTTTGAATCACAAGCTTTTTAGAGTGACCACACCATTTGATAGCATATCCAGAATCTGCGGCATTAAAGAGCTTGGCATCACCGCCAGGGGAACTCCAATTCCCTTTAAGTCCCAAAGTTTCATCGACAAAGTGCTTTAAGTCTGATAATAAACCATTAAACCGATATGTTCCACCATCAACAAACAGTTTAGTTGTCGTGCTCATATTTATGAGAAAATTTATTAACTTCAGAGCGATTCTACAGAGAAATCGAGGAGCTCAAAACCATACGTCTGCTCGCTTCAGGCGGGTTTAGTTTTCAATAAGTTTAGTTTTATGGAAGGTTATCTACTGCGCATGCGCAGTTCTATCTTCGTAAATACGCTCTTTTGTTGAAAGGATATTAAGCAAAGTTGTAGCCCTCATCAAGACGAACAACATTCGTTAATGTCTTCTTGACAAAATATGCAAGCGTAAGGTTTTATGTTCTGCGCATGCGCAGACCTTCTCCTTCCCGGCCGGAATTTCGGTCTGGAGCTCTATCTGGCGGAAACTTTGGCGGAAAAGTTGATGTCACGAAAAATGTCCATGAAATCATTTTCTGAATCAGAATTTTACGCTGAATCCAATGGTGATAGTTTCGTCCCCAGCCGTCGCATTGGTCCCGAGTTATGGAAGGTTATGTACTGCGCATGCGCAGAACTATCTTCGTAAATACGCATCTTTTGTTGAAAGGATATTAAGCAAAGTTGTAGCCCTCATCAAGGCGAACAACATTCGTTAATGTCTTCTAAACAAAATATGCAAGCGTAAGGTTTTACGTTCTACGCATGCGCAGACCTTCTCCTTGCCAGCCGGCATTTCGGTCTGGAGCTCTGTCTGGCTGAAACTTTCGCGGAAAAGTTGATGTCACGAAAAATGTCCATGAAATCATTTTCTGAATCAGAATTTTACGCTGAATCCAATGGTGATAGTGTCGTCCCCAGCCGTCGCATTGGTCCCGAGTTATTGAAGGTTATGTACTGCGCATGCACAGTTCTATCTTCGTAAATACGCATCTTTTGTTGAAAGGATGT